TATCACCCTTTTGAGATATTTACCAGGAGTGAGAATCACATTTCATGTTCAGTTTTAAGGTACTTTTCATAACCATGGACAGTGTTTTTTTTTTTTTTTTTTTTTTTTTAAGTGTATTTATCTTTATTCCCCTATTGTGTTCTTTTTATGTAACCAGTTAATTTTCCAAGTTTTATTCTGGTAGAACCAGAGTCCTTTTATTTTTCACTTAAACATATCTAATTCTGTTTTTCTTATAAAGGATACTTGCTGGTTTGGTTTTGTTCATCACTGAGAATGAGCTAATGACAGCTTTAAAAAATCCCAGCTTGTATATTACTTGGATATCATTGTATAGATCCGTATCACAGAAGAAAGAAGTAGGATTTTATCTCTGAAAAGATTTTAGTGCATAAACTGTGGTTTCCAGCCTGCCAGACTTCATGCTACTCTTAGGATCTCCGAATAGCCTTAAATTAGCTACAAGACCTCGGAAGCTTGCTCTGAAATTCAGTTGACATGTTAAAAACCCTACTTTAGGCTGGGTGCAGTGGCTTACGCTTGTAGTCCCAGTACTTTGGGAAGGCGAGGCAGGTGTATCACCCGAGGTCAGGAGTTCAAGACCAGCCTGCGCAACATGGTGAAACACCGTCTCTATTAAAAATACAAAACTTAGCCAGGCATGGTGCTGCACGCGTGTAATCCCAGCTACATGGGAGACCAAGGCATGAGAATCGCTTGAACCTGCTGGAGGTTGCAGTGAGCCGAAATCGCACCACTGCACTCCAGCCTGAGTGACAGAGAGAGACTCTATCTCAAAATAAATAAATAAGTAAAAGCCCTGCTTTAGCTATTCAGTGTTCTTTTCTTTTATCCCATTCTGGTATTATTAAGGGTTACAGAGATCACTGGATGAAGCCTATCCTGAAGCTACCTTGGTGGAGGGGTTAACTGGGCCAGGAGACCTGATTTCAGAAAGGTCACAGATTATATTCCACCTTCCACAAAAGTAACCTGGAAGATGAGTAAGTCCTGTCCTGAATTTTAATATCAAAGACAGTGTTCAAAGAAAAAATACTCTAGTAGAGAAAGCATACCCTTTGGGTTCAGGTCACCAGGAGTCACATTCCAACTCTGAACTTGAATTTTCTTATCTGCACAAAGGCAGCATGGCTGTGAGAACATGCAGTGATTTTATAAAGCTCCTGGCCCATAGGTGGCAGGTACTAATAAGAAATAACTACGTAAATCTACGTATTTTGGACTTATGTATTATTTTTTTGTCAGTTGCCTCTGCTTTTGAGGTCTTACTCAAGAAATCTTTGCCTGTACCAACCTCCTGGAGAGTTTCCTCAACATTTTCTTCTAACAGTTTCATAATTTCAGCCTTAGATTTAAATCTTTCATGCATTTTGATTTAATTTTTGTATATGGCAAGAGTTAGGAGTCTAGTTTCATTCCTTTGCATATGGTTATCTAGTTTTCCCAGCACCATTTATTGAAGAGATTGTCCTTACCCCAATGTATGTTCTTAGCCCCTTTGTCAAAAATCAGTTCACTGTAAATGCATAGATTCATTTCTGGGTTTTGTCTCTTCCCCCCACCCCCGCATTGGACTGTATGTCTGTTTTTAATGCAAGTACCATGCTGTTTTGATTACTATAGCTTTGTAGTATAATCTGAAGTCAGGTAAAGTGATTTCTCCAGTTTTGTTCATTTTTCTCAGGATGGCTTTGGCTATTCTGGGTCTTTTGTGGTTTCATATACATTTTAGAATTTTTTTCTTCTATTTCTGTGAAGATTGTAATTGGTATTTTTGATAGGGAGTGCATTGAAATCTGTAGACTGCTTTGAGCAGTGTGGACATTTTTAACAATATTACTCCTTTGAATCCATGCCAACTGCCTGGATTTGGACTTGCTGCGCACCCTCACAACCCTGAGCTAGTTACTTCCCCACCTGAGCCTCTACAGCTCATCCTTAAAGGGGGTTACAATAACATCTGCCTCCCTCTCTGAATTGCTATCAGGATTCAGTGAGGAAATGCAGATTAGAGTTTTAACAAGATCCAGGCAATGTCACAGGAACTCACTGAAAGCCACATCGCATTAAATGAGGAACCAATTTTGGCTGGGCCTTCTTGCAAAGTCCTTGCAGGTGTGTTGTGAAGATTACTGCATGGTGGTATGTTTGTAGACGGACACCTAGTCTAAACTTGAGGTAGTTGGTGCTCTAGGAATACTCAGTCATGTTATTTTGTAGCCTTAATCATGACTCGAACAAGTCCCTTCCTTTTTAAATGACTGAACAATAGAGTCCTTCATGGTAAGGGAGTACGTTGACAATTTAGTTTACTTAGTTTAGTTGACTTCGTGGGTTTATAATCGCATCCCAGTCACTGGCTGCTACCCTTTTCCTTCTTTATCTTTAAAAGACCTCTGCACACCAGGTATTTTCTCCAAGGATATTGTAAGCACTGGCAAGTGTTCATTGTTATTATTATTACTTGTAAAATGGGCATGATTATTCCCCCTCTACCTACCTTTAAGGTACCCATTAAAGACCAGAGATTTTGTATGTTTGAAAGGCTGCACATACATATTTTAACAAGTACAGAAGACGCTGTCAATAGCAGTCATTAACAGAGTGACAATAAGGAAATCCTATTGCTGTCTGAATGGCGTGTCCTTGAAACTCCCTTTGCTGATACTGACATCTCCAAGGAGTAGGGGGTGGGAAGACATCACAGGAAGTACCTGCTGCCACCACATCTCCCATCTAATTTTGTGAAAGTCACGAAATGCTTCACCTACTGCATGCAACTGACTGCGTTACATGAGAGGAAGTCGATGCTCTGCAAAGGATTAATGACTCACTGGATCAGGTCACACGGGCGGGTGAACACAGAGAGCTCTGACCAGCCCCAAGTTCAGCGCTCTTTTGCGCTGCTGCTTTGTGGGAGGAAATGTGAAGAAAATCCAGTGTCACCCTGTAAACCAGATAGAACACAGAACAACGGAGGAGCCCATAGAAGGCAAAACAGATTCAGGATATTTCTCTTTTAAAAGTAGAGTGGCATCATGGAAGAAACGTGACCTTCCAAAAAGTGGAGGATAAAGTTACGTTCAAGGGGAAAAACAGCAATATGGCATCTGTACCTTAGACATACAGAGTTCATGTGTCATTTGGAGTAAGATAAGAGTGGTGGGGGGTTGGGGAGGCCATGCCCTTTCAGAGATTCTGAGAAACTCTGACCATAAAAGCCCAGGACAACTCAAGGGCAGTACCCTTGACCCCATGTTTGTCAGGTAACAGGCTGGGTTTTTTTTTTGTTTGTTTTTGTTTTTATGAGAGGGAGGTTCGCTCTTGTTACCCAGGCTGGAGTGCAATGGCGCGATCTCGGCTCACCGCAACCTCTGCCTCCTGGGTTCAGGCAATTCTCCTGCCTCAGCCTCCTGAGTAGCTGGGATTACAGGCACGCGCTACCATGCCCAGCTAATTTTTTGTATTTTTGGTAGAGACGGGGTTTCACCATGTTGACCAGGATGGTCTCGATCTCTTGACCTCGTGATCCACCCGCCTCGGCCTCCCAAAGTGCTGGGATTACAGGCTTGAGCCACCGCGCCCGGCCGAACAGGCTGGGTTTTAACTTTTACTTTGTTGCTTTAACTCTGGCTGGGCGCTATGTGAGAAGGGCAGGCAAATACTCCAGTATTTCCTTCTGGCAGATACTCCAGGGGACAGGGTTGCAGACTCAGACCCGCCCATCACTAGCTGGGTGACCTGGGACAACCCCTGTCTCCCAGTGGACCTCAGTTTCCATATCCATAAAATGAAGTGGATATGATTCTATTGATTCATTCATATAACAAATACATATTGAGCAACTTACAGGCCAGGCATTGTTCTCTGTGTTGGGGATTCAGTGATTTTCAGGACAGAGAAATGTCTTCCTCCTGGAGCTCACATTGGCATGGATGGCTGGCAAGACAGCTTCCCACCCTCGTTGGACACGTGTCTCTCTGCCCACTCCATAGTGCCTCATGTCCCACCATGGTGCCTACCTGCTAGACTTTTGGCAAACTAGACCACCAATTGTCTGGAGACTGGAAAGAGCCTACTTTTTCGTTGTAATCTCTCTGCTCCTTTTTCCCCGTTTTCATGTAAATGTTATTAAAATGTAGCATCCATAGAGAAAGTATACACACTGATAAATTTTCACCAACAGAAACACACATGTAACCAGCACCCATACCAAGAAACAAAATACAACTCACTCTCAAGACAGGCCCTATGTCCCTCTGGTCTCTGACCTCTACCATAGGGAAAACCCCATCTCTAGATTTCTAATCCTAGTTATTAGTTTTGTTCTTTTCAACTTTGTACGTACTCTTTTGCATGTCAGTTCTTTCAGTGTTTTATTTGTGAGGTTTATTCATGTTGCTTCACGTTGTGGTGGTTTGATCATTCTCGTATAGTATTTCATTAGATGAGTGTTCAACAATGTGTGCATTTGACTGTGAATGGACATGAGTATCATTTTCTGTTTGAGATCATTGCTGAATGCTATTGCTGTGACATGTATGGGCCTGTCTTGGTGAACGTGTTTACATTTCCCAGGGAAGTTGCTCTGGCATAGGTTATATGTATGTTCCATTTCAGTAGCTTCTGCCAGTTTTCCTCAATGGGAATACAAAGTAGAGTCCCACCAGCAATGTCTGACAATCCCCAGGGCTGAGCACTCTGCTTCTTTTACACTGTAGCCATTCTGGTGAGTGTGTACTGACATCACATTGTGATTTTAATTTGCATTTCTCTGGCATCTAATAAAATCTGCCAGGGGACCCTGTTCCACTTAAACATAACAATTAAACAGAGGTATCTGTGCACACCAGGTCTTTTCTCCAAGGATATTGCAGTTTTCATAGGCAACCCCTCTTTCACGCTCGTTGTAAAATCAAGAGGCATTACTATACACAATTCTTCCACAGCCCCTGACTGTGGAACTTTTATTTCCCCAGTAAGAAGAAGAAAAATGTTTCAGAGCAATCCATCAAGACCACCCGGGACCGAGTGCCTACGTATCAGTACAGCATGAATTTTGAGAAGGTGGGCAAATGCATCATAATAAACAACAAGAACTTTGATAAACTGACAGGTAGGTGTGTGGGTGTGGATGATCCTTTCCGGTTCCGTTTCATCTTCTCCTATTTGTATCGGACATTTATGAGAGAAACGCTGCACCCCGCTACTGTGGCAGACAGGCCCTCTGAAGGCGGGGTTGCTGTGTCCAGGGGAAAGGGCTATGTGGAAAGTGAGAACGTTCAGCCTAAGGCCCCACCACATGTGTTAGCTGATGCGGGGCTTTGACCAAAGGGCTAAGAATCAAGGCGGGCCTTGGCTTTGATGGAGCAGAGTGTTACCAGGAGGCTCACCTGTTGCGGGCAGGCTGCACTGTTAGCCTCCCCTTTGAGTATGCTTCGATTCATTTAAACTGGGGCCTTGGAAGGCGTTGTATATATTGGAGTGTTTCTGCTGCATCTGGCACCAGTATATTTAGCGTCTGGTCCACTGGTAGCTGCATGTGGTATTCAGCCAGGGGATGCTCACCTGTGGACTCGTTGCTTGATTCCCACAGGTATGGGCGTTCGAAACGGAACAGACAGAGATGCCGAGGCGCTCTTCAAGTGCTTCCGAAGACTGGGTTTTGACGTGATCATCTATAATGACTGCTCTTGTGCCATGATGCAAGATCTGCTTAAAAAAGGTGAGCACTGCCAGGAGTGGTGGCTCACGCCTGCAACCCCAGAACTTTGGGAAGCCAAGGTGGAAGGATCACTTGAACGTAGGAGTTCAAGACTGGCCTGGGCAAAATGGCAACACCCCATCTCAAAAAAAGGGTTTTTTTAATTAGCTAGGCATGATGGCATGCACCTATAGTGCCAGCTACTTGGGGGGCTGAGGTGGAAGGTTTGCTTGAGCCTAGGAGGTCAAGGCTCCAGTGAGCCATGTTCACACCACTGCACGCCAACCTGAGTGACAGAGTGAGACCTGTCTCAAAAAAAGAGAAGTTGAGCCCTTACCGCTTCTCCAGCTGCCTTCTTCCTGTACCCAAGGGAGGCGATCCTCCTACCTTGGCCAGGCCCGTCTCAGGAGGATGCCTGTGCAGGACAGAGAAATTTCAGTGTGAGAAACCTCCCTCCTCTTGAGTAATCCATACACATCCTGTAGTAGGCAGGTCTCTTTCAGGGAGCCTTCAATCTCTTCATAAAAATATGAAAGCAGCTTAAATTTCAGCAGGAGAAATAGATTCTTTATATACAGAACGGTCACAATTTCAAAAGACTCATTCCTGGGAAGTAACAAATCTGTGTCATCCTTTCCAGAATGAATTTTAAGTGTAAACTTTTCTCTGGTGGCGGATAGAGAATAATAACTCCCATATACTTTAGATCTACATTATTTTTAATGTAGCATGTTCACAAAATTATTTGATTAGCTCTTTAACAGGAGCCCTGCAATGTTGGCCAACAGAATCTAATTCTCATTTTATAAATGTAGAGGTGGGCCACATGCGGTGTCTCTCACCTGTAATCCCAGCACTTTGGGAGGCAAAGGCAGGAGGATCCCTTGAGGCCAGGAGTTCGAGACAGCCTGGCCAACATGGTGAAACCCCATCTCTACTTAAAAATACAAAAATTAGCCTAGTGTGGTGGTGCACTCCTGTAATCACAGCTACTTGGGAGGCTGAGGCATGAAAATCACTTAAACCTGAGAGGCAGAGGTTACCGTAAGCCAAGATGGTGCCACTGCACTCCAGCCTGGGTGACAGCAAGACTGTGTCTCAAACAATAATAAAATAAAATAAATGAAGGAGTGGAGCTTCAGAGAGGATGGAAGATGCCCCAAAGGGTGCAGTTAGTAGGGGCAGAACCAAAACCCTACACCCTGGTCTTCTGACTCCAGGACAAATGCATTTTCTGTTACACCACACTGATGCCACCCAGGGTCTTCTGGCATTTAGGGCAAGTGTTTGAAAGTAACATCCTACCAATTCTTTAGACACAGACCTACAGGAAGTAGATAGGAACACAATCTCAGTCACGGCTGTGTTTCTTAATCTTGCAGCTAAAACAAAAAGTCCTCACCATCTCTATTTTTTTAAACGAGGCTTTTTCCTAATTTCCTCCAATTTGACTGTTACAAGCTGACCTTTTGTACCCTGGTAGGTCATGTGCTAGACCAGACTAGAAATCAGGAGTCCGAGATCCGGGTCTGGCCCAAGTTCTAACAGCTAGGCGACCCAGACAAGGCAACCACATCATCCTGATTTTCTTGCTTTCCTGAAATGCAGATTATTTTACCAGCTCCTGCTGTTTCTTGGCGATGGAGTGAGGAAGCTTGTGAGCCAAGAGGAATTTTGTGTGCATGCTTCGAGAAGTATAATGGCCCAGACAGGCATATGAATTTGTCCCAGTTGTAGTTTCTGTTCTTTTGAAAGATGATTCATTCTGTCCAAGCCCAAAGCATGTCACAATCAGAGGATTCTTGTTTATTGTCCTCTCAAACTAGTAAAACATTTATTTTTTCTGACTTTACATGCAGTCAGTTCCAGTGAAGACAAAACTCACGTTTTCTAACAATCCTAATTTGTGTGATCTTAAAATAAGCTAGGAACTCCCAACTTTCACCATCACCCTGTACCTCCGCTGTCAAAACTAATTATCGGAATCACTGTGCAGATGATACAAAGGTGTCTCAGGCATTCGAATGGGAGCGGCCACTCTTGCTCTGCCTGGAACTGGTGAGGTAGTTGGACTGTGCAGTGTCCTGGGCTTAAAGCATGGCCCCAAGGCTCCAACAGGTTGTACCACCTTTGGGGAAGGTTATGAAATATCTCTGAGATTTCATTATTTTATCAGTGAAATAAACATAAAAGAGGCCTACTTCCAGTCTTGTAGGAATTAAAAATAACTGATGTAAAGTACCTAAAAGTTACTCCTTTCCCTCTCAATCAGAGAAGAAAGGATAAGTTTATTATCTAGTTATAGGTTGCAGTTTTTACCATTAAAAGTAATGGTTAGTTAGTTAACCTAATAGCTGGTTAGTTAGTATCCCAGAGCTTTTGATGAGTTCTGTCTGGGCCAACTAGCTACATGGTTTATAATTCCTCTCCTCAGTACCCCAAATGCACAGCCAATTCAGCATTTTTATTTATTTTTTCTTTAATTTTGTTTAATTGTTGTAAAATACACATAACATAAAATTTACCATCGTAACCATTTTTAAGTGTTATAGATCAGAACAACATTCACGTGGTTGTATCACCATCACCACCATCCATCTCCAGGCTTTTTTTCGTCTTCCAAAACTGAGACTTTGACTCTATTAAACACTAGCTAGCTATTTCCCCTTCCCTCCAGCCCCTGGCAACCACTGTTCTATATTCTCTCTCTGAACTTGACTACTCAAGGTACTTCCCAAAAGTGGAGTCATGCAGTGCATGCCTTTAGTAACTGGCTTATTTCACTTAGTATAATATTTTATTCTCTATAACACATACGTGCATGATGTTTATTATATGGCCTGTTTTACAATTTACAGATAAGGAAACCAAGGCACAAAATGGTTCAGTAACCCTCCTGATATCACGGAACTAGCCAACAGCAGGGCTATGCCCCTCAGCCCCCATATACTATCCCTCCCTCTTAACTTCTTAGATAAGTCTGGTCCTTTGAGAGGAGCCCAGTGCCTGGGCCCTCCCCTCCATTCCCTTGTACCCCTCTAATAGTCAGGGGCCGCTACCAGGCTGCCTCTGGAAGTGCTGCTTCTGAGGCCCCCAAGAACTTAAGCATTAACTCTTCAACATTCATATTGTTCGCTTGCAGCTTCTGAAGAGGACCATACAAATGCCGCCTGCTTTGCCTGCATCCTCTTAAGCCATGGAGAAGAAAATTTAATTTATGGGAAAGATGGTGTCATACCAATAAAGGATTTGACAGCCCACTTTAGGGGGGATAGATGCAGAACCCTTTTAGAGAAACCCAAACTATTCTTCATTCAGGTAATCTCTTTTCAATGCCGGTACACTTGAAAATGGGGAAAGATTACAGAGTGACGGGATGGCATCATTTTTACAAATCTAAGTGCTCTTCCAAATGAAAATCAGGGTTTTATTTTCTGTCTTATTCAGGTTTTATTTTTCTGTTACTGAATGGTAGGCGTATGTGTTTGCACTGGATCACAAATTATGAAGGTTTCTTTTTTTTTTCTTTGAGACAGAGTCTCACTGTCACCCAGGCTGGGGTACAGTGATGCGATCTCGACTCACTGCAACCTCCACCTCCCAGGTTCAAGTGATTCTCCTGAACCTTTGAGATGGAGTTTCGCTCTTGTTGCCCAGGCTGGAGTGCAATGGCGCGATCTTGGCTCACCGCAACCTCCGCCTCCTGGGTTCAGGCAATTCTCCTGCCTCAGCCTCCCGAGTAGCTGGGATTACAGGCACATGCCACCATGCTCAGCTAGTTTTTTGTATTTTTAGTAGAGACGGGGTTTCACCATGTTGACCAGGATGGTCTCGATCTCTTGACCTCGTGATCCACCCGCCTCAGCCTCCCAAAGTGCTGGGATTACAGGCTTGAGCCACCGCGCCCGGCCTAATTTTTGTATTTTTAGCAGAGATGGGGTTTCACCCTGTTTGCGAGGCTGGTCTCAAACTCCTGGCCGCTTCCCAAAGTGCTGGGATTACAGGTGTGAGACTTCATGACAGACCGTAAATTATGAGGGTTTCTTTAAGACATTGCAATACTTTTATTTGCTTTGCTTAGTAATTTGACACACATTCATTCATTCATTCATCTGTTCATCAGATTATCCCTGAGCTCCTAAGTTTGCCCAGTTCTAGGTATTGTCCCAGTTCTAGGTATTGGGACACAGCAGTGAACAGCATGCACGTTTCTGTCCCCAGCGGCATGGATTGATGTCTGCTTTGATACTTAGGCTTGCCGAGGGACAGAACTCGATGATGGCATCCAGGCGGATTCAGGGCCCATCAATGACACAGATGCTAATCCCCGGTATAAGATCCCAGTGGAAGCTGACTTTCTCTTCGCCTATTCCACGGTTCCAGGTATCACGTTCATTGTCTGCTAAGCATACTTGAGTCCATTCCATCATCAGAACACAGACCTGGGAGCTGTATTAGTTTCCTCTTGCTGCAGTAATGCATTACTACAAACATAGTGGCTTAAAATACACAAATGCATTATCTTGCACTTCTGGAGGTCAGAATTCCAAAACAGGTTGGCAGGGCTACATTCCTTCTGGAGGTTCAAGGGAAAATCCATTTCCTAGCCTTTGTGTGGCACCTTAGAACCTCCTGCATTCCTTGGCTGTGGCCCCTTCCTTCACCTTCAAAGCCAGCAACTTTGCATCTCTCTGACCCTTCTGTCGTGACAGTGCTCTCTTTCTGACCACAGCTAAGAAAGGACTCCTGTGATTAGATGGGACCCACCTGGACACTCAGGATCATCTCCCCATGTCAATCCAATAACCTCAACCACATCTGCAAAGTCCTTTTTTCCACAGCAGGTTTCGTGTTCACAGATTCTGGGGTTAGGGGATGGCCATCTGTGGGCACCGTTATTCTGCCTGCCACAGAAGTGCATTCACTTTTCACTCCAGGAAAGCTGACTAGGGACTCGCTCTTGGACTTTCCAGCCTTCGCAACTTATAGAAATAGACATCAGTTGTTTAAACCACCTAGTTTAAGGTATTTTGCTATAGGAGCCCAAGAAGACTGATATACCCTGTGATCCAGCCCCAAGTTTTACCAAATGCACTGGGCCATCCGGCCCCTCAGCACTCCATCTGACAAGCCATTTATTATTATTATTTGTTAGCATTTATTATTATTATTATTGGTAATTATAAGCACAAACATTTCTATAGTGCTTTACAATACAGAGTGTCTTTCATGTGTCTTTTCTCATATCATCCTTACAATAATAGCATAAGTATTTAGGAAAGATATTATTGCTGTCCTGATTTTGCAGATAAAATAAAGGAATTTTCAGTTTAGATGAGCTTAAGTAATTTCGGCATGCAGTGGAGCTATGGCTTAGACCAAGGTTCCTTTACGCTGCAGCCTGTACACAGGTACCAGAAAATGCCAGTAACGGGCAAGCCTACTCACTGTTTACCAAGCGCCACATTAGACTGAGTCTGTACAATGAAAGTCCTTCCTTTGTTTTGGGTACGAACCAGCACTAAGTTAGAATTCTCCCAGCTGTGCTAATAGTTTGGTCAAGTGTTTGGCACAAAGGTACTGGTTACAGTAAGTAGGTCAGTGTGTTTGGAAAACCAGCTCTAGCAGCATCTACAGATGGGATTTTGTGAAAGCGGTAACTTCACAAGTTTTCAGGATGGTATAAGATAGAAAATAATTTGGTCTTCCTGCTCTTGAGAGGGAGGTGGTACAATGAGGGCATATGTCTGCGTAAATAAACCCAGGGGTAGAGTTGTAGGTGCTCTGAGCAAGGAGGCAGATGAGAAAAACCATGTTTTATTTATTTATTTATTTATTTTTAATCTTATTTATTATTATTTTTTTGGAGTCTCACTCTTTTTTCCAGGCTGGAGTGCAGTGGCACGATCTCAGCTCACTGCAACCTCCACCTCCCGGATTCAACCATTCTCCTGCCTCAGCCTCTTGAGTAGCTGGGATTACAGACACACACCAAAATGCCCGGCTAATTTTTATTATATTCTTAGTAGAGAAGGGGTTTCACCACATTGGTTAGGCTGGTCCCGAACTCTTGACCTTGTGACCTGCCCGCCTTGGCCTCCCAAAGTGCTGGTATTACAGGTGTGAGCCACCCCACCTGGGCAAGAAAAGCGATGTTAAAAAGGAGCTGCTATAACTGAGCCTAAAATTTCAAACAACATGAGTAAGAGAAAGATGGCTTGTCAGACAGAGCACTGAGGGGCTGGATACCCGAGTGCATTTGGTAAAACTCAGGGCTGGATCGCAGGGTATATCAGTTCTTCTTAGGCTGCTATAGCAAAATACCTTACAGTAAGTGGCTTAAACAACAGACACGTATTTCTCTAAGTTATGGAGACTGGAAAGTCTAAGATCAAGTTGCTGGCTAAGTCAGTTTCTGCTGAGGGCTCCCTTTCTAGCTCATAAATGTCACCTTCTTGCTATGTTCTCACATGGCAGAGATTGACCTAGACAGAGTGAGGCCTCTGGTGTCTCTTATAAGGACACCAATCCTCCTGGATCAGAGCCCTACCCTAGTGACTTCATTGAGCCTTTACCTCTATAAAGGCCCTACCTTTAAACAGTCACATTATGGGGTGTGGCTTCAACAAATGAATTTTGGGAAGACATAGTTACAGCCCATATCACAGGGTGTTGCAGAGTATGGTCAGGGTCAAACCAGGACAGGTAGGCAAGTGGCCCTACCATGGTGGGCCCTGTGTGCTGTGCCAAACAGCCTGAACTTTACCCAGATAAAGTGGGGAAAGGAAACCATTTTAGGTGAGGGAGTTATAGGATGAGATTTTCCCTTCCAGGGCATCAGGCTCTCCTAGCCCTGCCCCTCAGACAGTTGGGCATTCAGCTTCCTCATGCCTCTAGATTTCTTCAGCAAGTTCCAACTCTACTCCCCTGTACCCAGCAGCAGGAACACATCTCAGAATTTTCCAGGGTTCTCTGAAAATTCATTCTCTAGTAGGCTTGGATTAGAAAGTAGAACAGACCCTGAAAGGGTGGTGGGGAGTTTCAGAGTTATGGAATAGACCTCTAGTATTTCCTGTGGAAGTCTACATGTCCAGATCTGTCTCACACTGTCTCACACCTATGTATCTGATGTGTATCAAGTGGGTACCTCCGTCAGGACTGACACAGGAGAGGACCCTGGCAACATCCACCAATAATGGCCCTTGGTGATGTTGTCTGTCATTGGATTTCCATGCTGAAATACCCAAAGCGCTTTTTAGCATCTTCATGCCAACCCTCTAAATCTCAGGTGTTTGCTCTCTGAGCACACTGGCTTAATTCTCATTAATTACTTGTGTGCAGAGTAGGGTGAAATTGTTTCTGAAAAGCAGGTGTGAAAGCCCCATCCACTCATTCTCATTGGTGAGTGGAGCGGCTGTCAGAATTAGCTGATTTGATTGTCCCCTTTCTTTCCTGTTGAAGGCTATTACTCTTGGAGGAGCCCAGGAAGTGGCTCCTGGTTTGTGCAAGCCCTCTGCTCCATCCTGGAGGAGCATGGGAAAGACCTGGAGATCATGCAGATCCTCACCAGGGTGAATGACAGAGTGGCCAGGCACTTCGAGTCTCAGTCCGATGACCCACGCTTCCATGAGAAGAAGCAGATCCCCTGTGTGGTCTCCATGCTCACCAAAGAACTCTACTTCAGTTAATAACCAAACCAGGGGCGCATTCTAGCTGAGAAGCAATGGATCACTTGTTAACAAATCAGATTTTTTTTTTTTTGATGCTCTTGAAATATTGAGAAATTCTCCAGGGTTTTAATTTCAGGAAAATGTATTGATTCAACAGGGAAGAAACTTTCTGGTGCTGTCTTTTGTTCTCTGAATTTTCAAAGACTTTTTTAAATAATGTTATTCATTTGGTGACTGTAACTTTCTCTTAAGATTAATTTTCTCTTTGTATGTCTTTTACCTTGTTATTAGACTTAACACATGCAACAAAAGTGACCTCTGGAGAAGGCTCCTGCCTGTGTCCACTGTCATTGGTGGTGACACCGGTAGTCAGAGTCGTGTTTGCACTTGGTAAAGAGAATCCCAGTGTTTGACAAAGCACAGCCAAGGGGATATTTACTGACCTTTATTGAAGAATGTGGATATTGAGTGTGATTTGAATGATTTTTCATTGGCTTAGGGCAGATTTTCAGGCAAAAATTCCCAGATAAGTTTGAGGAGAAAAAGTTTCATGATTCTGATATGTATCTGTCGGGATCCAGTCTGGAAAACAAACTAGAAACAGAAATACCATTCTACGTGTTTCAACAGAGGGAATTTAATACAGGAAATTGACTTACATAGATGATAAAAAAAAAAAAAAAAAGCCAAACAGCAAGAAGCTGTTACCACACCCAGGGCTATGAGGATAATGGGAAGAGGTTTGGTTTCCTGAATCCAGTAGTGAGATCATCCAGAGTGGCTGGAACCATGGTGGGGGCTCCATAGGGGTAGCTGGGACCACCAATGGACTAAGGAAAGCGAAGCCATGATGAGGACAAAGCCACTGCCTGAGACGGAGTGAGCTGAGTCAGATACGGAGAATACCTTGCTCTCACCTCTCCTGCTCTCACATCTTCCACCAGCACCTTACCATTCCAGGACAACCTGGAAGCCACCTTGCCAAGGCCCTTAGAAGATCAGGGGACAGTGAGGCAGGAGAATGACGAGAAATGAATAAGCCTGGCCCATAATGTGAACATAAGTAATCACATTCCCTAATGTTCAGCAATTCATCCATTTAATCATTGATTCATTGGGTCGTCAGATAGTCTACGTATGTGTAAAATAATCTGTTTTGGCTTTATGTGCAAAATCTGTTATAGCTTTAAGATATATCTGGAACTTTATAGATTATTCCAAGCCTCATTTTGAGTAAATATTTGTTACTTCTGGTTCTATAAGCGAGGAAGAGTTTATGGCAAAGATTTTTGGCACTTTGTTTTCAAGGTGGTGTTATCTTTTGAATTCTTGAAAAATGACTGTTTTTTTCTGCCTAATAGTAACTGGTTAACAAACAAATTGTTCATATTTACTGATTAAAAATGCGATTGCTTAATTCCTAACCAGTCTGGTTTGCTTTCCTTTTGAAATTATTTATGGCGATGGAGAAATGAGAAAACAGGATAAGAATTGACCCTGTTGGCTGGGCACAGTGGCTCACACCTATAATCCCAGCACTTTGGGAGGCAGAGGTGGGTGGATCGTTTGAGGTCAGGAGCTGGAGACCAGCCTAGCCAACATGGTAAAACCCCACCTCTACTAAAAATACAAAAAAAAAAAAAAAAAAAAAAAAAGGAAGAAAAAGAAAAAAAAAGTTTTAACTATTAATACATTCACAGATAGCTTTGGGCTCTGCTAAGCTTTTTCTCTGAGCAAATTTCCAGAAGCCATCATTAGCCCAGTACATTTATGAATTGCTACAAATTGGTCTGAAAATAAAGTCCTGGGGTCACTGAATTTACATGATTTAAAACCTCGAGGAAACCAAGGCCTCTCTGTGAGAAAGAAAATGACGTCCCCTGAAATGTCCTAGACACGGACTGACAAATCCTTGTTTTGCCCAGTCTTGCAAGTGCAACACCTGAAATCTCTTATTACCAGCTACTCTGGTGAGCACGGATTCCCTTTGACTTCTTGGAAGCACACCATCTCTGCCAGCTTTTCATCTTTCAGGCCCTTTTCTAGAAACATCTGGCCAGGTAAAAGGCTGTGTTGGTCATCAGTTTACAGCAACAATTCCTCTGTGTTAATTGGCCAGTGGAGAAGTAGCAGCAGCCCAGGTATCCTTAAGAGTTCTTCAAAGACTTGCGGATTGGAAAGCGCCTTTACGCAGTTTGCCTTGTACATGTTTTAGTGTCTTGCAACACTGAGCGAATGCCTGGACTGGGTGCATTGGCATCCCCTGGGAACTTGTGAGATATGCAGACTCTCAGCCCTGCCCCAGACCCACTCAATGTGAATCTGCATTTTAACCAGACTCCCAAGTGACCCATGTGCACATTATAGTTTAGGAAGCTCTGTTTTGTGGGCAAGGACCACATGTATGTATGTATTTTTGTTCTCCCCCTGCCCTGAACGTGGAGCTGATAGAACATGCCTACAAAGAATTAGAAAAATAATATTTTGAAGCTTTCATGGAAGACAGGTTTTCAAGCTCTTCTAACCTCCAGCAAAACCCTGTTTTAAAACTCCATCATACCCTTAAAGTACACAGTACACTTTTTACATTCTTTGCCCATTTCCTTTTTAAATAAGCCTTCGCTGAGTGGCATACAAGGATTATTTAAAGGTTCTCAATATGTCTGTGAATGTGAATTGCAGCCTTTAATATGTTTTTGTAAACATTATAGGATTAAAGGAGCCATTTCTTGCATGTATTTATTGGTGGTGGCAGGACTGCCGAGCATTGAAGCTTCACAGCTTGTCTTTTCCACCTGTCCTATCCCCAGAGCCCAGTGGACACTGGGAGGATTATTATTTCTCCTTGCCAGTGTGCCCTCAGGCCATAGGTCACCTTTTTGACAGACTTCAGGGCTTTGTTTTGGATCAGGTGACAATTCCTTTTGATTCATGAATCATTAACACAAACACACTAAGAACGTATTTGGAAAGCCCAGCCACCACCGCAATATTGACGTGGACATGGAAACTCCCATTAGCTTGTAGGTTCATGCATGAATGGCTCTCTAAAATGATACGGTTAATCTTGTTTAATCTGGTTAAAATGCAGATTCACGTTGAGTAGGTCTGGGGCGGGGCTGAGAATGGTATGCAACAGAAAGGGGGAAAAGTGCAATCTACCCATCTGCCGAAGTGCTAATATCTAGAATCTACAAGGAACTTAAACAAATTTACAAGAAAAAAAAAAAACCATCAAAAAGTGGGTGAAGGATATGAACAGACACTTCTCAAAAGAAAACATTTATGCAGCCAACAAACATGAAAAAAAGCTCATCATCACTGGTCATTAGAGAAATGCAAATCAAAACCACATTGAGATACCATCTCATGCCAGTTAGAATGACGATCATTAAAAAATCAGGAGACAACAGATGTTGGAGAGGATGTGGAGAAATAGGTACGCTTTTATACTGTTGGAGTGCAAATTAGTTCAACCATTGTGGAAGACAGTGTGGCAATTCCTCATGGATCTAGAACCAGAAATACCATTTGACCCAGCAATCCCATTACTGGGTATATATCTAAAGGATTATAAATCACTCAATCATAAAGATACATGCACACGTATGTTTATTGCAGCACTGTTCACAATGGCCAAGACTTTGAAACAACCTAATTGCCCATCAATGATAGACTGGATAATAAAAATGTGGCACATATACACCATGGAATGCTATGCAGCCATAAAAAAAGATGAGTTCATGTCTCTTGCAGGGACATGGATGAAAGTGGAAACCATCATTCTCAGTAAACTGACATAAGAACAGAAAACCAAATACCACATGTTCTCATTCATAAGTGGATGCTGAACAATGAGAACACATGGACACAGGGAGGGGATCATCACACACAGGAGCCTGTCATGGGATGGGGGACTAGGGGAGGAATAGCATTAGGAGAAGTATCTAATGTAGATAATGGGGTGATGGATGCAGCAAACCACCATGACACGCGTATACCTATGTAACCTGCACGCTCTGCACATGTAACCCAGAACTTAAAGTATAATTTTAAAAAAAGTACACAACAAACATTAGAAAATACAGAAGTCAAATACGATGAATTGGTTTTGGCATAAGTGTTGGTTTTTACGGCACTGCCATTTTCTAACAAATTTGTTTGAGTCATTTAAAACCAAACTATGTCAAAGGATTTCAATTTAGAAGGCACGTGGGGTTATGGCTACAAAGAAACAAGACTGAGTATTTCTTGAGCTTTAACGGTTTGACCCAAGTAAACAGCATAAGATTTGGGAAAGGTGAAAGTGTAAATGGTGAAAAAGGTTTGGTCTCCATTGCTAGTTCCAGCTTCAGTTATTTAAAGCAAATCTCAATTAGTACAGAAGTCAACTTTTTAGCAGAGATGCTTTTAACCATTCATATTTCAAAGTTAGGCTCTGAGGCCATGCGTGGTGGCTCATGCCTGTAATCCCAGCACTTTGGGAGGCTGAGGTGGGCAGATCACCTGAAGTCAGGAGTTCGAGACCAGCCTGGCCAACATGGTGAAACCCCTCTCTACTAAAAATACAAAAATTAGCCAGGTGTGGTGGCGCAATCTTGTAGTCCCAGCTACTTGGGAGGCTGAGGCAGGTGAATCACTTGAACCCGGGAAACAGAGGTTGCAGTGAGCCAAGACCATGCCACTGCACTCCACCCTGCACACCACTGTATTCGGTGTGAATCAGCATGATATTTTGTCTCAAAAAAATAAAATAAAATAAAATAAAATAAAATAGGCTCTGAATCTGATCCAAATCCTAATCCTAACTCTGTCGTTTAACCACTTAATACTCACATAACCTTAGAGAGTCCTTCGGTTCCCTCATCTACATATGAGGATAGCAATGTGAAGATTAAATGAGATACTGTATATGAAGTGCTTAGTGCAATGTCGGGCACAAAGTTGTAACCAAAAGAGGGTCTGGCTGCTTGCCACTTAAAGAAAGAAGCCAAAATAACAAGAGCGAGGTATGAAAAAAGGAGTGAATTTTATTATCCATTGCGAGCAAGGGGAAAAGGCCAGAAGCCTTTCTGAACATTGCCACCTTTTCAATTTCTGGAGAGAGGGCAACGGTTTAAGAAGAGGGGCTTAGAATACAGAGAGGTGGGGGGTCTAGGAGGTGCCAGGTGGCCTGTTTCATTCCAAAGGCTTATCTCGGATTGCTGTTCCAACTGGCTAAGGGGCCAGCGCCATCTTGAGCCCAACCAGGTTACAAACTAATTGCAGTCGATTGTGCAATTAATGTCTCACTGGGAGTGAACTCTGTCCTTGAAGTAATCTCCTGCTAGGGAGAGAATTCTGGAGATGCCTTGTCCATATCAGGATTCAGCCCCTGAAGCTTCTAAGGAAATACATGACCAGATAAGTGAGCATGGTGTGAGCTTAACAAGAATCCAGGTATATAAATGTGTATAACGCATGAGAGCATAAGGTGGGAAAGGAAAGAAAAGAAGTTCTCAAAACACAGTTTGAAGCTAAGCTGCTCAGTTACAAAGTAATCGCTGAGTAGTAGATATCAAAGATGATAGTAATGAATGATGATGATGGTAATGACATGAGCCGCATGGAGAGGCAGGGATGGAAGATACTCCCCCCAGGACACCTCCACTTGCTCTTTCTGCCTCCACAACTATTCCTTGGTCATGCTCTTCAGTCTATGCTTCCAACCTGAGGTCTCCCAGAAGTGAAGGGATTATATCAGTGATCGATTTATTCAGCAAACATTCAAAGAGTCTGACTAGATGCCAGATGTCGTATTAGGGATAGGGCTGAAAGAAAGAATACTCATACGAAAGCAGGTGAACAAATCACTCCAGGGCTTAGTGGCTGTAACAGAGTTGTGTGTACATGACCCAGGAATACAGAGGAGGAGCATCCTGCCTGGGAATTCCGAGAGGGCTTTCAAAGGAAATATGTTCATCATCTTCCAGTCCAGTCTCCCAGGAAGACTGAAGGGAAGGTGATGGAGAGGAAATTAAGGTTAGCAGGTAGAAGACGGCCTGAGATTACCTGAAAGATCTGTTTAGGAAGGAAATCACTATGCCCCACCGCATCCTCATTGCAAATCAACAGGTCTGGGGTGGAGACTGGGAATCTGCATGTTTAACCAACCTGCCTAGATATTCTGGGCAGGTGGTCCTCGGACAATACACTTTATTCTGATACCAAAAGACTCCCTTGCAGATCTGCAGAAGTGGCAGCAAAGCCCAAATTAAACAGCTGGAAAAGATATCACCCAGGCGCCAGCTGCTCTCTGGCTATTCGCAGACCCAGCTGGCCATCCTATCCCCAGATCAAACAGCAAAGGATTCAGGGCATAAATGAGTTCAGTACTGGAGCATTCTTGCCCAGAAACTTCCAGAGACTTTACAGGAACACCAAG